GCTTGAACCTTCTCGGGTTAATGCATGTATAGAAACATTAGCCAGTATAATTCACCCTATAGCAGAACTCACAATATATATCTTCTTCCTCATCGTCCATGTCGAAATTAATTATTACAAAAATAATTCTATTATGCCAGCGTTAGAATCTTACATACCACTTGAATAGCACTTGGAAAGAATACTAAATAAGAGAGATCATGGTGGGTAGCCAAAGTCAACAAAAAAATAAAGTAAAAAAATCGAATATAATATAAATTACTAAACTAAAATTAAATTTGTTATTCTTCGACAACGACGCCAAAAACTTGTTTGTAGAAAATTCGCAAGCGTACGAGATCATTGTACAAGTAATAATAAAGTGAATTAAGAGTATCGTTCCCACGAGAAATAAGGTCTAATATCTAGTTCAATAACTTTTATTAAATTCGAATGAATATAAAATCGAAAGAGTTATTTTGTACGTTTTTTATACTAATCCTAAACTAACAAAGCAAATAAACTATTTATTTAATATGCGAATGTTTGTATTGGAATTGTGAATTCCCCTATTGTCATTTAATTGAACCCTTAATTCATAATTTAGTAAAGTCATGTAATCAAGAAAATCGATAATCCACTTTTATTCAATATTCTTTCTCAAGATATATAAACCTATATTTAACAAGACCCGATCCTATTCCTAATCCGAATTCATATGAAAAACATGCATTGATTTACTGAATTTATCACACATGATTGTACATGTCATAGATATTATTCCTAATACCTATTGTCTATGTGTTAATTTTATCGCGTTCTAGAGTTATTGTGAGTATTCCTATACTACAATAAGCAACTTACTATCTAATTGGCGATCAAGCAATTAAATAGTTCAATGTGAATGCAAAACCAATCAAGAAAAAATATGAAGTTTTCCATCATTCATCCAATGCAATAAAAAACTAGCTTAACATATTAATATAAAAATTACAAGAAGAATAATAAAAAAATATCATCCGGATCATGAATCTTTAAGTCTAAAGTTGAATTTTTTAAAATCTTGATGTAATTGAACTTTAATTCCTTGCTATAGCTTGATCCCCTCTCTCAAAATATAGTAATTGACCCATTATTCTTGATGACTTTTATGAAATTATTGTGTAAAGAGGAAAGAGAGAGACCCTTTCATTGTTGCCCATCTCTTGTATTTATACGATGAAATAGGTTATAATTCATGTCCAAATTGCCTTCCAAAAGAGTTTTAATCAAATGAGGAAAGTTACCTACGCTCACGTATGATTTTGTCTCTGCACAGTTTTCAGTATTTTGATCTTAACCTTTTCTTCTGATGTCCAATTGAGATGATTCAAAGTCCGTTGAAAAGCTAATTTAAAGAGCTAAAATTCTTGCAGAGATACAATTTTTCCAATTCGAAAGTTTTCTATCCGAAAAATGGGTCTCAAATTGATAAAAAAAATCTGGAAGATATCTTATGTGATTGAAAGTCGATTTATGGTAATATTTCGATCATATCCCTTTCCTTTTTGACTCCAATTTGCACTCAATTGACTCCTATCAATCTTCAAACTATCTTTTGTGATCCAAATCAACCATTGGATATTTACACTTTGGTCCCCATACTTTGAATTTGCTTCATTTTAGCCATTTTCGTTCTTTCTTTCAATTCTTCTTTGAAACATGAACTTTTCTTAATAAAAGCAATAAATAACAAATTAGGTACTAATCCGTTTAAACAATAACAAAATATCATCATACAAGATCCCAAATAAGTGTAGACACTACACTTATCAACCTATACATTGTCAGTGGGATTTAGCTCTTGCTCTTTTCGATATCTCTATGCCCCTACCTCTTCTATCTTCCATACATTGGTTCTTGGTGCACTCCGTTGATGAGATTTTACAAGTTCAACACACTGATGGATACGTTAATGATGGATTTGCTAGTGCAGGATGTGTTATACGAGACCAAGCTGGGCAATGTATCAGGGCATTCTCTTCTTCCTATAGTAGGGTTGACAATGATTTGGTTCGATGACAGATCAACCAAAACCATCACCGAACCACCAATTTTTTTGGCTATATCATAATTGCACCATAACTACGTAAGTTGGTTTGGTTCTGTTCGGCTCCGTTCGTATCTCGGTTTAGCTCGGTTAATATCAATGAAAATAAATTATTTTTTATAGGTCCAACTGTCAAATTGAAAAAAAATAAGTAAATGATGAAAAATGTCAATGAAAGCAAAAACATAATATTAAGCCAGTTTAGCAAACAATATCCCAAATGAAAATGTAAACAGTATCCAAATTTCCAAATACAGAATCCGAATTTAACAAACAATTTTCATATATATTTAATATTTGTGTAGTAGGGTGTAGCGTTATTAGGTTAAGTTAGTTGGACTTAACGGGTCAGTAATGAGCCAGAATTTTGGATTGGATAGAATTATAGAAAGAATAATGGAAAGCCTAAGTGCCCAATTAATTTTTTTCATGGGTAATCGGTTCGGGTGGGAGTGACAGCGTATATACCATACCCACTCTGTCCAGAACCGGGCATTAAAATCAAATACTATATTCCCCCATTATGTCATCGGTTCGATTTTTTCGCTCCATTCAGTTCGGTTAATCATGATTTTCGATTTTGACAGTTTGAATTGACATCCCCATCCTATAGTGCTTCCCTTATTCTGCAGGCAGATTTTTCTTGCTTGACGATTTGGGATTTCAGATATTTGGGTTTAACCTAACTTGATTTGGCTGTTCACTCCATCTTGGGACACTTGTGCAGATTTATTGATATAAATTACCTAACTTTAGAGGCTAACTCATTTACTTTCATTGTATTGGGAGTACTACTCCTTGCTTACTACTTTTTTACAATTTTTACTACATTTGTTGCATTTTAGGAGATCAAGTTTATGTCCCCCTTCTTCACTGTGTTCTCTTTTTTGATGATATATATATGGTTGAAAAATCCTAACTCTCGTTGACCTTTCTCAAGGAAGCCTAAAAATACACTAAGGATGTGTGGATTTGTTTGCCACAAAAAAAAAAAAAAGAGAGAGAAAAAAAGAGAGAGAAAAAAAAAAAAGAAAAAAAAAGAGATATATATCGTCAAGTAGCAAAATAATTTTTCAAAGTCATGTCATGCGATTTTCATACCGAATTGGTATGAGTTTCTTATTTGATTTCAGATTTTTTTTGTATTTTCTTTGTGTTTTTCATATTAGTAGATTCTAACTAACTGAAGAATAATACATGAAAAATTATTTAATGTTTATGTAGAGGCTAAAATTGTGTAGCATTCGGGTCTGTAATCATATTATTTTTCCAATTTTTCGATTTGCTTTGTTTTTGGGTCAATGGAGTTCGAAAAATTTAAAAAATCAGGTATATTCATGAAAAATAGTGTTCTTGCTGGAGAAGACAACGGAGAGAAGCTTATATGAGTAGGGCTGAATTGGAAGGGGCCCAATGTGTTGGTGGTTGCCATTGAGGTGGTCTAATTAAACACTCGAATAGTTGTTGGAGAGATGGTTTTGTCGATGATGATTGGTATGTCCAACAACTTTTGGAGGTGGTTGAGGATGACTAGGTGGTGGTGGTGGTGGTGGTCGTGGTGGTGCGATGGCTGTAGAGGTGGTGTTGGTGGTTTTGATAGTGGTATGTCCTAGATTTGAGGTGATGACGAGGATTGGGCGGTGCCTAAGGTGATGGAGTGGTGGGGATTGATGTGATGTTTGTGAACAGTTAATTTAATAATTTGTGGTCAATAAATAAATTGTGACCTATAAAAACGTTTGATTTACTATTAAATTTGTAGTTGTAATTCATTATTTTTGTTTTTGTGAATAGAACATTATCGTAGCCATAAATTGTGTATTATTGCGACATTGACATGTTTAATTAATTAATGTCACACAAATTTTATTAGGTTGTCCACCTGATTTTTTAAACATTTATACAAATTTCTTATTTTTTGAAAGTGTATTTTGAAATATTTGTATTCATGCCCATGTTTTATCTGAGTAACAATCAATTTTATTTTATTTTATTGATAAAATTTAATGAGACGTATAATTAAAAAATTGATAAAGATTATGAATGATATGCTATTTGTGATTGAAAATGAATTTAATTTAATTTTTTTTAATCACAAAATAACGGAATGTGTTACATGTATATAATTGTTTATATAATGGTGTCCATAATTATACGCGGCATTGGATCCAACCTTTAATTCAAATATTATACTTGCACATCAACAATCGGATGATTGCTGACACCGTTATGTACAATAATTATGTACAAATAGAATTTTCCCGAAATAACTCATCCTTGCCTCCATCCCGAACCTAGGGGACTTGGGAGTCAAGTTATTACGAAACCCTGTCGCTAAGCTACATAATCCAAGAACAACAGCGACTGTATATTTGACGTCGAGTAATTATTCCCTTTGATGTCCATACAATCAGTGAATTATTCAGCCCAAGGGTTCTTTTAGCAGCTTTAACATTCTTCTCTAACCTTCTAGGAAAAAATAATCTTGTATTGATTCAAGATTGAACTTGTTCTATATGGAACAAAGTCTTCAAGTAACAAAACACTTTTTCAAGGTTATGTCTCGTGATTTTCATGCAAAAATGGTATGTTTTTTTCTCTTTTATTTCGCATATTATTTTCTGTGTTTTTCCCGCTGAAACATATGATTTTGAGGAGAAATTATTCGATAATTACTAAATATGAAATATATTTTAGGGTTTATGTGAACGCCTGTATTGGGTATTTGGGTCTTTACCCATATTACGAAATAAAAATAAATATTTGGGCTAATTATAAGTTTATTAGAAAGGTATTTTATGGTTATAATCTTTACAAATTTCACAAAATCTGCTTCGCCATTCAGATGCATTAGCAATTTATACATGTTTGCTAATGGAGTTTATGTGTAACTAATTAATTTACCTTTTTTCCAATTTATATCTATGGGCAGGCCCTGCCAAAGGCATTTTGTAGAAATCTAGATGATAAAAAATTGGCCACTATAAGGAGTGGTAAGGGAATCTGGAAGATCTGTGTTGGTAAAAGTAATAGAGATACCATGTTTTTCGAAGAGGGATGGGGAGATTTTGTTCGTCAACACGAGCTCACTGTTGGAGATATTGTAGTATTTGAGCACGTAGGGGGAATGGATTTCAATGCTTTCGTTTTTGATTATACTGCCTGTGAAAAAGAATTCGACGATGATTTAGCCGAAAAATACGAAGGATCTTCTGGAGTTTGTAATAATTTGGAAGCCATCAGAGGTAAGTTTTGAGCTTAAGATACTACATTGTTATTTTGTTTTTCCAATAGATGCACAGCTTCAATGTAAGTCTGCAGAAAAAACTGGCTTCTTAAGCAGAGGCCTTAGGGAGTTTGTTACCATTGCTAATTCCACCAGCACTTGTCAATCAATTGAGAAACCAGTAATTCATGGAATTTAAAACTACTTTTCTTGTGGTTTGTTACGGTTTAATATCGTTTTATTTTCAAGTAAATCTCCTGCTGATTCACTGATTTGTTGACAATTTTGTATGAAAAAACTGCTTCATGTACAGGTGGTTCATGCCAGCAGAGGGATAATCCATACTTTGTCATAACAATGAAACACTCCCATTCACCTGCTTCCAAAAGGTCCCGGCCATTTGTGGTGAGTTTTGCCTTACATGACAGCATATATTGAAATCTTGTTCGTCTTTCTTTGTTTTCTATTACAAATTTGATTCCTTGTGCTTCAATTTATGTAGATGTTTGGCTAAGCTTAAAAAACTTAATCTTAAGTGAATAAACAAGGATTAAAACAAATAATTTTTGCTTCATTAAAGTTGGAAATAAGTAAGAATAACTGATTCTGAAATTAAGGCTTACAATAGTATCAAAATGGTTTACCTTTTTTACTTGTTAAGAAGAGGAAGTAGCTTGTGCAAACATGTTCTGGAAACAAAAGTTACTTATAAATTTTTTTATAATCATCTTTAATTATTGTTTCTTTCATATTTTTTTTCCCTTTAATTCTTGCTCTTTCTAATGTTAAGATAGATAAATGCACTTAGAATGGGAGTAAGTACTCCCAAGAAAGGTGTAGGAAAAAAAAAGGGCTTTGCCAATCATGCTCGTAACATGATGCTTTTTATCTTTTCTTTTTTTACACAAACATGTTGATCTACTGAATTGTGCAGTTATTTCTTAATTTCATGAATTTCAGCAAATCCCGGCAGAATTTTGGAAATCAAATGACCTGAAAATGAAGAAGGGCCTAAATCTAAAAGATCCTTCAAGCAAGAAGTGGTCGGTCCAACTCAAATATTATAGTAGTGGTCGTGTTGTTATGGATAGGGGATGGAAGCAGTTTTATGAATCCAATAAGCTCAAGAAAGGAGATGTTTGCACTTTTGAACTCAATCACAATCCCAAAGGCTCTACTGTTGCTTCAATGGATGTGCACATATTCCCAGCTCCAAATTGAATGCCAAAATTCTGTGAGGTTTTGGAATCCATACATCTCCCTTTGGTTAGGAAAAATTGAACATTGTAGGCTTTTTTCTTGATGGAGCATTTAAAGTTATGTTACGACATGAACTTCTATAAACGGCTTGGTACACATTTTGCCCATTTTTTCCTCAGCTAAAAAAGAAAATTAAAGTATATGTCAAAATCCACAATTAATTTTAACCGCATATTTTATGGGGTCTACAACTTTTCAACCACTCATTTCATTAACTTTTATCAATATACACTGACAAGAGTTTTGCTATGTGTCAATCTTGGACGTACAAACAACAAAACCTACCAAAAATCTAAGGGTGTGTTTGATTATATTTGTTTTTCATAAAAAATATCAGTCTTTACCCAAATTCCTACTTGAAGTGTTTGATTGCTATTTTTTTCCATGGAAAATATTTTTCAACTTTTGAAAATATGCATAATTTTTCTTGTTTTTAAGGAAAATATTTTCTTTGGGTAGAGGTGATTTTTATTTTTCACAAAAGATGAGTAGATGATATTTTTCCAATCAAACATAAGTACTTTTATCTAAACCATGACAATGGAAAATTTGTCTCATTTGTGGGGCACGTGGCATCACCTTGTTAAGTCGGAAAAACTTAGGTCAACTCTCAAGGAAAAAAGAGATTGAACTTGTTTAAATCTAAGAAAGTAAGAGATGAGAGTAGGACGCAGGCGATGGACAATGTTCACCAACCCACCATGCCTACAGATGGCAAGATCAAGATTTTAGTCATCACCTCGAGGTATTAGTTTTTAGGTTAAATCATTTGTATACCATTGTATACAGTCCCTTCACATTTTTTGAGACCCATCGAAATTAAAAATTTGTGTCCGCTCAAATGAGAGGGGGCTGTAATGGTGTACTATACATCAAGCAGGCTTCTATATAAGTAGGGATAAAATAAAGAATAGATATGAAGGGAAATAGCATCGGCACATATTATTACATATGTATGGCGAAGTGTCAGTCTCGAGCATGTGCGGGAGGGTAAATGCTGAAGCTGGGAAAGAGTTAGCTTTCTTGTAAATAATTTTATCAATATTAGTGTTTGGATTAAATTATAAGTTGCTAAAACTATAACGCGATAAAACTGAGTGAAGGATGAATGAGTAAGAGTCGTGGGCCCCCACAAAATGTATAATTCAAATTAAAGTAGTTACTTTTTTTTTTTTTTTTTTTTGGAATATAGGCTTTTATAATGGCTAGACGGTTTGATTGTTTTTATAAATACTACATTGGTTATTTTTTTATTAAATTAACGTAACACTATGTTAATTACTTGAACATACGATGAAGTATCTTCAATCGCTTTGGTGACAATATGAGTTGAATGCAAATGTAGAAAACATGGACATAAAATTCTTATATTAAAATTGAAATTAATTAGTCGTAAATTGGAGAACATACATTGAAATTTTGTTCTAATAAGGTTGTAGGTCAACTATTACACCAATTAGGGCGAACTGTCTAAGTGGATATCTAGAGTAGTGATCTTACTACACTTTGTGTATGAATTGAGCCATTATATAAAGTTCAATTTTATAGTTTGATCGTACAAAGGATTATAACTCTATTTGAATACATTATGAATTACCTTTATCTCGACACAATAATGGGCATTATTTGTGAGCTTGAGGATATTTGATATGCTAACGAGTAACATCAATTAAAGTGATAAAAAAATCACCGCATTGAGAGCTTCGAGTAAGCAAAGTAGTGAAAGTATAATTATGTTAGGAAATTCTCGCCCTTTTTGATCGATTACAAGAGTTTACTTAAATATTTTCTATTGAACAATTTAAGTGATTAACAATAGCTAAATAATGGTCAAGATTAGAAGAAAATGTGACTTAAGAAATAAAATAATTAGAAGGGAAAATGGTTATTTTAGTCCAAGTCTAATATCAAGTGCTCAATGGGGGCAAGACATAAACAATCATGTTACATGTACATTTTGTTTGACATCATTTTTGACATTATGTCATATGTCGTAACATGAGTGGACAGTTTTAAAATGAAACACACTTTTCCGCCCATTTAAATTAAGGATGTAATTGAAGAGAAAAAGTAAGCATAAATGATTTTATTTAACGAGATTAATAATTAGCCTGCACAATACAAGCCTTTAATCAAAATCAAGGGGTTGCACAATCGGAATGAGTCTAAAGTGAAAAGATTTTCACCTATTAGGACATGGATTTAGAATATTTTCTAGATACTCTTTATTTATAAAATGATATTATATATAATAGATTGCATCTTTAAATTTAAAGAATAATTTTTTTTTTTAGACAGTGCGCTCTCGATTTTGGCCTTTCACTTTGTATTTTTAAGAAATATTTATTGATTTCTTCTCATTTTTTATTCAATAACATTTTTTTTTTATCTCTTGGTCAATTAATTCAAATATGATTTGAATAATATACGTAGTAGTATAATGAAATATGTAATTTATTAAATAAAATGTTATAAAATTAGTCTTTGTTCGATGAGGATTAAAGTCAGATTTTTCGTAGATTTTAATCTCAACTGTACTTACAAGTATACATGGACAGGGAGTGTGATAGTCCGGCACGTGAAGATAATGGAGAGGAAAAATTAGAATGTTTTCTTGTGAATCTCTATATCTATGTTTTCAATTTTTGGTCGGTGAATTTAGTTATTGATGGTCATATATCGGTGCAATCTAATCTTCGGAGCACCAAAAAGGATTATAGGGTTCGTAGAACTGAAGATTAAGCCCTTGTTTGAGCCTTATTCTTTTGGAAAAATACATTTTCAACAGTATTTTGACATTATTTCAACCACACATTCTTCAATAAAATAATATTACACGCAAATCTAAAAAATTTTCTTAATTTTTAACCACATATTTCCCATCAATACACTATTCAAATATTCATTCTTCCCCAAAAATGGAGAACAAAGGCTAAATTAACAAATTCCATAAAGCTTGAAGGATAAAAAGGACTAATTAGCACAAAACTCCCTACCTATTGGACATACTGCAAAAAATTTCTCCCACATTTTGGTAGGATGGGCAAAAAACAGAAAAATCGATCAAACTGATCAAACCAAATCGAGTCAAGTCGGTGTAGGTTGGTTTGAACAAAAAATTTGGTTTGGTTCAATTAATTTTAATCATTAAAAAGTCTGGTTCAATTGGTTTCGATTTAAGCAGCCAACCCATCAATTAATTGACCCAACCCGCTAATATTTATTTTATTTTAAAATTTATCTTTTTAAACTTAAAAACCAAAATAATAAAAACCCAAATAAATTTTTTCTAATAATTTGTTTACCATCTATAATATTTCCTACAATATATATATATATATATATATATATATATATA